GACTGGAAATCAATCACACACACACAGTAGAATTTCAAATTCTTCAATTTTTAACCAATCGAATTGGAACAGGTCCAATTTATCAAATGAAGTTACATCAGGGTGCATAATAAACTTGCGCATTTCTGATAATTCTTTGAACTGAGGAATTCTCGCTGAAAAGGTAAACCATTTTGATCGGTAGTAGGCCTAAAATATTGAATCGTGTGCCATTGGTTCTCCATCCCTGCCCTAGACCATGGTTCAAAATTACGAGGTCCTAGCCAAAAGCCCTTATGTAGTTGAACAGTGCGACGTTAATATTCCCTTGCTCATTCCAAGAATAGAAACGCCTTCTAGATACATCCATTATTAAAATGGGACGAAAATTCACATATTTAAAAAAAAAAAAAATTTACACCTTTTTTAAAAACATATCGCAAGTAAAAATCTCCTGCAATTCAAGGCCAAATCACAATCAAACGCACTATTGACAGATCTTTAGAATTATTATTATTATATGGCGATAACAAATACCTCACTCTGAAGAACAAGTAAAATAACATCAGCCGGCTTGAGATAACCACTTGACAAGGGAGTAAAAAAAAAATAACTCTCTAGTCGCTCAAAGCAATCACAAAGTGTATTATAATAAATCACCGCATAAACACCCTAAAGAGGAAAATAAGAGATAATAACGCAACTGCTTTTCAAATTTCACGTAAACACAGCCCTCCGATTACTTTCTTTAACGACGGCACTTGAATGAAATATTCATGGGACTTAAATCAAAAAGCCAATTAAAGTCCTTAAAAGAAAATTAAAAGAGGGGCTTTAACGCCTCTCCCCTATTAATCAAACCTGCTAATCAGCCAAGATTTATAACTAAATAAAGGTGATTTAAGAGACTTTTCTTTACGGCATAAAATCTTCCATCTACGTTTTAACGCCTTATTGATGAAATGAGGTAATCTCGCAGGCAATGAAGGGAATTTCGTCTATTTGTCATAATCATGGGTTTCACGGTTTTCCAGTTTATAGGGGATTTTTTTCGGCTCATTATGCTGTCATTTTTCAGCTACGTTTACATCAGATACAATTACAAGGGTTTTTCCCATTTGAATAAATGTTTGGTATAGCATAAATAGTCGTTATTTAATTTCCGTTAATTGCATCGTGTGGAGTGTACATTAAGTTAATTGATTTGAGCAGAAGAATAACAATTAAGAGGGACTTTCTCTCCCCTAGCTCTCCAAAACGGATGCTTAAGTGTTATTTATATAAAAACCCGAGACATTTATAAAATAGATTTATTGACTTTTTTTTAATAAATAAATTTTAATATTATTTTTCAAAAAGGACGGCGTTAGGAAACTTTGAATAAAAATTGTAAAAGGAATTTGAAACGTTCAATACTTCTGAGACTTTAATTGGGAAAAGACTTAATTATCAGAACCATACAATTGAATTCGATTAAGTTTTTGTAATTCTATTTCATGAGAGTGAGTGAATATTAACGTCGCACTGTTCAGATACACGAGGGTTTATGGCGACGGACCTCGTAATTTTTAACTATGGTCAAGTGACGAGGACGACACCAGAGCTGGCACCACTTCTCTCCTAACTACCACACCAATGGAAAGATGTTTGAGCTGCCGACAGAATTAACGTGCATTGCTCCCTTACACAGCGGGTGTTTAGTGGTACAGGGCTCAAAGTGACAAGCCAACCACGATCAGACCTGACCATTAGGCAACAGCGGCCTCGTAAGTCTGTTTCGAACAATTGAAAAAGCTCTTCATTCTAAGCAAAACGTCCTTCCATCACTTTAGTCATACTTCTTCCTCATGATAGAGTAAATGGAAAACTAAATGATTATTTGACAATCAGAAACATTTTTCGCAACCTTTTTCAAGCAGTATATTTATAAATATTGAATAATTTTACTAAGCATTTTTTTGAAATCATTTCGATCTAGAGTTCGAAAACCTAGTCATACATATTACAAAAATTAAAAAAAAGAATTCAAACTAAAAAATACTAAAATAAAATTAATTTTACTTTGAAGCAGAAATTGAATTTTTCATAAACAGCTATATTCGTTTTTTTATTTTTTGAAGGGAAAAAACAAAACGAAAAAATAATAATTGCTTCACAATTGAAAATAAGAAATAAAGTAAAAGTCTTAGGTTAAACATTTGAATAGACTAATTTGTTTTATTAGCGTATATAAAACTCATTTACCAAATACTCGTTCATTTGCGATAAAAAAAAGTGTTTTTCTGATTTCAGCAAAAAGTATAAATGCAAAGGAAAAGAAGGATATGAATTGCTAAAGGGCTCAAAAGTAAAGATAAATGCTAGCACATCCTGGGGGAGCGTTACCTTGTCCACATACCTAAGACAATATACATAATGAAAAGAAGAAAAAAGATTCCTCAGCGACCACACGTTCGGTAAAATTGTACTTAAAAAAGGTAAATAATTAAAAGACTTGAAGAGAAATACATGCAATAAATACATTACCAGTAAGTCGAAATTCCAAACATCAGAGGATAAAAATGCTTCAAAATGAACTTAGAATTCAATTTCAAAATTTAATCCTACCGAACATAACTTCATTGAGTTATATTCGGTTATATTATTATTATCATATCGGTTCACTGAGTTATATTAACGCCTTACTATAAAGCAACACTACACGAGTTCGATCCCAGTACCACTAAAGACCCGCCGTGTAGGGCAGCGATGCACGTTAA